GTTTCTGTATTATGCATTGAAGTGGTGCCACCAAAAACAAAGCGGCAGTACATTCCCTTTAATTGTGAATTTAACTACAACTTGAATTTAACTACTTTGAAGAATAATGGCCTAGTGTACCAATAATGGGTTTATTTGCATTAACACTCAATAGCATTCCCATTTTTCAAACATCTCTTCAAGATATTCATGAATGTGCGACATTATGCACTTTACAGTTCCATCACGTGTTTCCCACATCCAGTCCAATTTCAAATTTATCTCTACCTCATCCTCACAGGTTATTCCTTTAAATTCCTCTCATAGCCCTGAGAATCCCCACACTTTACGGATCTGCTATGAAGATAACCATCTTTTTACCCAAGAGGACCTACGTGTTTGTCCTGCTTAAGCTTTTCAGCATCATGTGTGAGTTGAATAGCTTGATAGCTATAACGCTCCGTTTCCCCCAGATCTGAGCATGCTGCCTTAACAGCTGTCCTGTCCCTACAGGCATATGGTTGAGGGTGGAAGAACCAACTGGCTTGTTTTATGTCATTCCAGACTAGTCTCCTGGTCTTCAAGGACAGGTTCCAATTTTTCACTGGAATTGGTAGCTGAGAGCAGTATTCCTTTCTGCATCAGATACACATATAAGCCATAACAAATGAGGAAAATAAGAGAAAAGCTTCCATCTCCTCTCACCCTCTCAACCCTCAAAAAATTAGGTAAAATAGAGGAAGAGGGGAATTCACCAGGGTCCTACAACTATACAGGTGAAGGCAAACAGCTGGAAGACACAGTGTGTGTCCCTCAGAGAAGGTGTTGATGAGAAACCTTGAGAGAAGAAACCACATATGACTGCCATGCATGGGCAGTAGTGGAAGAGCTGGCCCAGGTTTATAGCACAGTAAAGGGGAAAAAAGCTGGAATGAGGAAGCAGCCAAGCATATATGCCAATTAAGGGGTAATAGTACATATAGAATGGCACAAGCTGGACAATGGAAGAAGGTAGTTTACCAGACTTTTACTCATTAATATCCGCACTGTTCAAATCCTACGGAGAAACCGTGTTCTACTGGGACAGTGGCTCTCAACCCTTTCAGGAGTCTGATTTGTCTTGCGTACCCCCAAATTTCACCTCACATTAAAACTACTTGCTTACAAAAACAGACATAAAAATACAAAAGTGTCACAGCACACTATTACTGAAAAATTGCTTACTTTCTCATTTTTACCATATCATTATAAAATAAATCAATTGGAATATAAATCTGGTATTTACATTTCAATGTATAGTATATTGACAAGTCATTGTCAGTATGAAATTTTAGTTTATACTGACTTCGCCAGTGCTTTTTATGTAGCCTGTTGTAAAACTAGGCAAATTTCTAGATGAGTTGCTGTACCCCTTGGAAGACCTCTGCGTACTCTCACGGGTACACGTGCCCCTGGTTGAGAACCACTGTACTGGGAAACAAATCCTCAAGGAGAAGGGATTTGGAGGGCTTGTGAAGTAGGCAGGTGTGAGAGATCTAAAACCCATGCCCTCTGAGGATCTGTACACAGATATAAGATTCATTCTGCAAGATTGCTGTGCCTGTGTGCCACTCTTCTGGCCCACATTCTCACAGCGTGAATCCCCCCTGCTGCTTTTGCCTTTGCCTCCGTAGGAGCCATAGAGGAGATATCTCCTCACACATCAACTTGGCTACATGTGGGTTGACTAGAGAAGAGACAGGGAGTTCAACAGAGTCCTTGCTTTTTCTCCCATTTCTGCCCTCAAAACTTTGTGGGGCCCCAGCCGAGATCTGTCGTGACAGGTAAAGGAGAGGACCGATGCTGTACAAAAGGAATGACCCTTTTCCCCAAGAGTTTTTCTGTAGAGAGTGCTCTCTGGCCCCATGTATTTGAATGGAACTCATTAATTTCAAGTGTTATAACAGGTCTCAGTTATAAGACTATCTGCTGTGTAGCCGCATCAACACGAAAATGTTTTTTGACATAAAAATTAAAATAAAGCTCTGAAATAGCTATATTATTAAATATTTTTGCTGAGATTTTTTGTACTTTGCAGTTATCCAAACCTTTGAGTAAAAGCATAACATTTACTTGAATAAAACAACACAGGATATTCAATCTATTTATATACAAAAAGTATAATCAGTTTAATATCTATTACATGACATTTCCTCTCAAAATATTGAGAATACATTTTTTAAAAGGCAGCCAAATTAGTATGTGACAGTGTTTTTTCTTTTGCTGTTTTACATTTATTATTGTCACTGCGCCTTGACATTGAGCGAGCTATTACAAGAGCAATATTTATATAATATATTTCATCTTTTCTCTTATATTAGTGGGTCTTGCCTCTCATATAGCTTTGCTGCTTTTCTCTGAATTCTCTCCAGGTTTTCAATGTCTTTTTCATATGGTGGTATCCAAAACTGACTCTATTTTTAAAGGTCTGGTATTTCCCAGAGTAAATTAAGGCCAGATTTTAATATCCTTACTCATACTGACTAGCACCTTATTGCATGAGTTTTCTCATTAATTTCAATGGGACCACTCATAGAGTAGGTTTGTATTCAAAATGAGTAAGGATATCAGAATCTGGCTGCTAGCCAGGGACTATCACTTCCCTGCTATGTGGCATGATGCCATTACCTGCACAGCCCAAAATCATGCTGGCTTGTTTTTTGTTTTGTTTTGTTTTTTTTGCTGCCACAATACACTGTGTGTTCATATCTAGTTTGCCTTCCAGTGTCACTCACAGCTCTTCCAACATTGCTGCTTTCCAAGTATCTTCCTCCATTGAATAGCTGTGTTTTGAGTATTATTGTCCCAGATGTACTGCCCTATTTGGATTTGGATAATTTGGATGCTGCAAACACTTATGTATGTGAGAAATCAAGTGTGTAAAGCTACTCATGTGCATTAGTATTTGCTGAATCAGGCATTTGGATTGTAATAAGCAAAGGAATCAAATAATCCATGTAACATTGATGCCATCTGAAGATAGTGGAGGAACAGAAGTCACTTAGGACTTGTCTACACAGTGAGGTAATTCATCCTTTGGGATGTGATTTCTACAGTGTACTAACATGTGCATTAACTGGTCTGTGTAGACCCTGCTGGTGCTCACTAAAGGTTCCCTAGTGCTGAAGTTCTCAACCTTTTTCTTTCTGAGGCCCCTACCCTCCCAACATGCTATAAAAACTCCATGGCCCACCAGTGCCAGAACAACTGTTTTTCTGCATATAAAAGCCAAGGCCAGTGCTAGGTGGTAGCAAGCAACCTCCATCCTTAGAGGTTTTTGTGGCCCGGCTTGACAAAGCCCTGGCTGGGATGATTTAGTTGGGGTTGGTCCTGCTTTGAGCAGGGGCTTGGACTAGATGACTTCCTGAGGTCTCTTCCAACCCTGATATTCTATGCTTCAAATTGCCCGAGGCCTCACACCATAGGGGGCCCCCCCAAAACTCAGACTTTGGCTTCAGCCCCAGGTGGCAGGGCTTGGAGCCCCGGGCTTCAGCCCCACACAACGGGGCTTCAGCTTTCTACCCTGGGCCCCAGCAAGTCTTAACACTTGCTCTGCTTGGCAGACCCCATGAAACCTGCTTGCATCCCCCCCAGGGAGCCCCAGACTCCTGGTTGAGAACTGCTCTCCTACTGCACTTTAACATAGTACCATTTCAAACAGCACATGTTAAAGCACACCAGCAGGGTCTGCACAGACCAGTTAATGCACAACACATTAATGCACTTTAAAAATCAGACCCTCACAGTGCACATTACCCCACCTTGTAGAAAAGCCCTTAGATTCCTTTTTAGGAGTCCACCATTTCTCTCTGAATACATACTGAGGAAATGCAGTGCTATGCACTCTATGATGCATGTAACTTTCAGCACTGTATGACAGATGTGTTCCCTGGCAGACCATTAGTCATTTGCAAGCATGTTTATTGCTGTTGTGACACATTTAAGTATTGCATATAGTTAAGTGGGGCAAACTTCTGAATGAGCAAATCTCAGAGAAGTGATAGTTGCAGTTTAAAACTTCTAAACACCAACTAATTTTGAAGTGACAAATACTGGTGGTCGTGGAGCTGATTTGGACATTAAGTGCTGGTCCACACACATTTGCAACAGTTTAACTAAATTAATTTAAAAATCACACCTGGAGGGCGGCTGTGTAGGGGAAACGTTTATAACTCTCCCAAGCTGGAGGAAGGATTTTGTGTTTGAGGTGGTTGTGGGGGGTTGAAAGTAGGGGTAATAATAATGGCATCCTAAAGGAATCCTTTCCATTTCCTGAGAAAAGATATACAGTGTGCAGTAACTTCTCTTTAGGGTAAAACATTATGAAGAGCTTAGATGAATTACTGACATTTATTCAATGAATGACGTGCTTGTGCACTGTGATGATGCCTAGGTTTGATTCTCCCCTCCCTTACACCTGTGCCAGCTGCATGTGTCCAGATCTGAATGGTAATTTGCTCAGGTGTAAATGACAACAGAAGTGGCAAGTCAGTTGAGGAACAGGCCCATTAACTTTCTGTCATAATCTACTAGTAATGAAAGCCTATTGTAACACATTAAGAAGTTACGCTAAAAGAATGGCAGTGCTTATAGGTTGCTTTTAAACTTAGCAAACCATCTAAACCAAAGCATGTTTTCCCCTCGGGTTTCTCTTTTTCAGGAATGAATGAATGGTGGTCATATTTTTATGGGAGGTCATTCTTTCCTCTTTTATAAAAACCTTGTACTAGAAACCTTGTGGAAAAAGTCTCTTGTGTTGTAGCTTGTGAAAAATCTAATTCAGTATTTTTTTTTTAAGATGAATGACTTTTTCGTTGGTTTGTTACCACTGTCATCTTAAAATCAAAGTAACTTATTAGAATCAAAATCTTTACTGCTACTGAAATTGTGTTGTGGTTTCTTTGATGTGATCCCTGATTGCTGTGAGTGAGAAGACTTGGTTCAGTATTTTTGTTCTTAGATCCCCCTCCTTTGTCTTGCAGCTACTTGTGGCAGATTCCACTAACAATTGCGGTAGGAAATACGAGCCACATCTCTTCAGAGGCAATTATATGGGTGTCTAACAAATCAGGTAAAAATAAACTTTCCTCACGGTGGAATCTCGTAAAGCATACATGTGTTTTCCTGAACTGTTTCTCAGAATTGATCCTAGGTAATTGTTTAGTTGCTGTGCACCCAATTACAGCTGCTTTAAAATGAACTGCAAGAAAGATAATTTTTGGAGGGTGGGGGGGAGAAGAGGAAAGAACCAGGTAATTTTCACAAAAGTTAGAAGGTGCAAAAAAAAGGTTTTAAACAGAAAGATGTTCCAAAACAGCTATTTTATATCTGAAATCACATACTAAATTATTGTATAAATGCAATTCCCTATATAGAATGGTGAAAGCTAAATAAAATCTTTGTAATAAAACACCTGCTAAATGTAAAATCTGTAAACTAATAAATGCAAAATATGCAGTAATGTAATATTAAGGTTAAGAATACTGTTGTTTTTTTTTCTAAATTTGATCAATCGTCCACAACCAGTGCTAAGAAACATTTAGTGTCCCCCAAAATCTTTTTATTGATCTCCCAAAGTGTTTCTAGCCCTGGTAGGTTGCTAGATATTGGAGTATTATTCTGATTACCATCTTGCTTTTACCCCCTGCTTCAATTCTGACATGATAATAGCAACCACTATCTTGAGAACAGCTAGAGCTAGAAGCCAATGCCTTTTATCACCCGAAAGCAGCTAAGAATACCATCTTGCAAATGTTAGAAAGCATTCCTCTCTTTCCCTGACAGTGCATGCTGTATCTGCTCCTGAATTTATGTCAGAATTGGAGTGAATTAAGAAAAAGTTGGGGAGTTGAATGATACGATTAAAAGAAGTGGAAGAGAAGGAGCCGTACATCCCGTACATGCCTGGGCAGTAGAGGAAGAATTGACCCAGTTGACAGTACAGAAAAGGTATAGCCTATGGGTTTCCTTCCAGAGTAAATAGAACTGGCAGGAAGAAATAGCCAAGCCTGTGTGTGCCTGTCTTTTCCTTTTTGTTCTTTTGCAGGTCAGTAAGGGATAATAGTACCTTAGAGCTTAGCAACCGACAGGGCTAGAAATGAAGGGTGTATAGCAGTATAGCAGTGGAAATATGAGAATCCCAACTTTCTAGTGGTATAAGGTATGTGTTTCTAGCCCTGATTGTTCATGATGTATCAGACCTTAATATTTTATTACTGCTCCCATGATCTAGCTTCTTTTTTTGGCACTGGTCTAGGACTGGGATCTGGGACCAGAGTAATTTTCATTCTAGAATTTAGACACACTCTGGTCAGGAAATGCAGATGTTAATTTTTCCCACAGCAGCATTAAGTTGGCCACAGTGATAATACTTTGCAATACTTCAAGCCCCTTCACACTCTGCCTCATCCTTATCTTACCTGCTCTTGTCCCTCAGGGCTTGATCCAACTCCCACTGAAGTCAATGGTGAGATTCGCATTGACTGCAGTGGGAGCTGATCAGGCCAATATAACTATCAATCTCACAGTCTTACTTTCACACACACGTGCTTCCCTCTGCCACTGATGCCAGCCTGAAAACTCATTTATGAGTGTCTTCCACGATCAGCTGCACAATTTTTGCCTTGCTGCCCTTTACTCACTGAATGCCCTCCCTCACCTAATCTGAAAAGCCACTACACTCTTCTCCTTAAGACCTACTCGGAGATGCCTGTAAGAAATCAACAACCTAATGATGGCTATAGTGAGCAATCATCAGGAATGGCTGTTACCTATACTTTTAAAACAACTTGCAAATGATTCAGAGCCATATAGTGGTGTGCATAGCTAATCAACGTGATGATGATCTTTATGCTTGTCGTTCCCCTACCTCTCACTCACTGGTTGTCTTATTTCATATTAGATTGTATGCTTGTCTGGGCAGGGATGGTATCATCTTGCGTGTTTCTACAATGTCTAGCATAGTAGTGTCTTAGGTGTTACTGCAATAAAAATGATGACATCAACTTTGGATATGTTAAACATGTAACTCGCTGTACCCATTGTATTTGCAGAATACAATGATTGATGCTAGGGGAATCCTAGGAGGTTTTCTGCAGCTGATACAGGGATGATGTGCTTGTTGCTCTAGGAAGTGTTCTGAGTCTGAAGGAGGCAGTTTCCAGGCTTGTTAACTTGTGGGGGATCCCAGAGGGTTTCCATAATGCAGAGGAAGAGGCCTACTGTAGTCCTGTCACTGGAAGGTGTCTAGAAGCAATTCTGCAACTGGAGGAAAAGGCTCAAGAGGTCTAACAGCTGGCTTGGGAGTCAGGCTGCACTTTTCTTTCAACTCAGAAGAACAAGTCCAATAGTGGCCATTCTGAATTCAGTTATCAGTGGGACAGAGCTCAATGTCAACTAGTCAAGGTGAGAGGAGGGTGGGTCAGTGACACATAGACCAAAATAAATGAAAAAATAAAATCCCCTAGGACTCAGAAAGGAGATTATGGGGAGCAGGTGGGGGTGATGGTGCATAGAGGTGGTAGCAGATGTACCTTCTTGCTAGGGCAGGAGCCAGATGCGGCTTCCGACCACCACTGTGAAAGAGCTCCCTCCCCACTGTCATGTAGCCAGGAGAAACTCTGAGACTAACACCCTGTGGTGCCACATCCACAAGAGGCACTCAAAGGTGCTGGAGGGAGCACCCAAGGCCCCATCCTGAAGCCAGCAACCATGAACTTTCCATCACAACATTGAACTGGCAAAAGTAAAGATGAGACAGAGGGAGAGAGGGCCAGAGAGATTCATTGGGTTATCCATAAGCACAGTGCTCTAAGACACTTAATATAGTGGTCTGTCTCTTGTGCCAGTAATTTCACAGCTGGCAGGTTGGTCTGTCTCCCTCTGTCTGAGGCTCTCCAGTGCAATAATTAAAGCAAATTATAGTCAGTCCACAAGAAAGATACTGGGACTGGTGCCTGACTGTGTGGTGGTGTTAGGAATCCATTCTGTACACTCCAAGGTGTGACGGACATTCCTCCACTTGCAAAATTTCAGAAAGGAAGAGGCTGAGTCTGGAGAGCAATAAGGGGACAAGTACATGAAAATCCCCTCAGCAGTCCTCCTCTTCCTCCCCCACCATTGCTTCAGGGTTTTCCATCAGGCTGCTGCTGGCATGTTCCGTGAGAGATGTTCCTGAGGAAACTGATGTCTATTCATGTGGATGAATGAAAGCCTCTTCCCGTTCCCTGCAGACAGATGTGCACCTCTTGGAGACTATAGCGACTGCTGTGCTAAAGAAATTCTCTGAGCACATGCTTGATGGTGGGCAAGAAAAGTGGGAGACACACAGCCAAGAGATGAAATGCTGTCCACACATTCAGCAGCCAATAATGAAGAGGGTCTGAGTTAGTGGCACTAGTCTGACATCTTGGCATACCCTGCCACTGGCCTCTGCACCACAGTAGCAGTGTACTCCTCTCCAAGAGTGGAGGAGACAGTGTCAACCGGAACAAAATCCTCCACACTGTGACAAACGGGTGTATTGCTCTCTCCCTGTGTACTCATGGAAGTACTAGTCTCCTGCTGTAGTATTTGCTGTACTGTTGACTTCTAGTGGTGAAGATGCTGCTGCCCACATCTTGAGGGCCATGGCAATGCCTCAAAGTTGATTTTTCAAGCACAGTATGTCTGCCTCCCTGTTGCCTGAGATGAAGGAAGCCAGGATACTTTTGAAATGGGTAACTAAATATATTGACACCAAGTAGCGCTCCTTCTACCTGCTGCCAATTTTCCAAAAGAGCAGACAGCATGACTCCAACTAGCTACTTTCCAGCACTGTCACTCTGTTAATGGAAGAGGTTCTTCATGTGCGTTCATTTTATCTCCTGCAAGCAGTGAGGGAATTACTTGACTGATCCCCACATCATCATTGGTGACCAACTTTGTGGCCTCATCAGTGTTGTTGGATGTCAGTTAGTTTCTTCATGAGCACCCAGTGGGAGGGTGAGAAGTAGAGGCTGGGCTGCGTGTGTGTGGAGCTACGAATGTACCATGTTTGCACTGCTGCTCTCTGCTCATACAGGTACTTCAGCCTGTAAGAGGTGGAGTTCCATCTGGTCACCACCTCCAGCTCCATCTGGTTAGAGTCGTAGACTTTAAGTCAGAAGGGACCATTATGATAGTCTAGACTGACCTCCTGCACAACGCAGGCCACAGAATCTCACCCACCCACTCCCGCAACAAACCCCTAACCTACGTCAGAGCCATTGAAGTCCTCAAATCATGGTTTAAAGACTTCAAGGTGCAGAGAATCCTCCAGCAAGTGACCCATGCCCCACGCTGCAGAGGAAGGAAAAAAAAACCCAGGGCCTCTGCCAATCTGCCCTGGAGGAAAATTCCTTCCCGACCCCAAATATGGCGATCAGCTAAACCCTGAACATGTGGGCAAGACTCACCTGCCGGACACCCAGGAAAGAATTCTCTGTAGTAACTCAGATCCCACCCCATCTGACATCCCATCACAGGCAATTGGGCATATTTACCGCTAATAGTCAAAGATCAATTAATTGCCAAAATTAGGCTATTCCATCATACCATCCCCTCCATAAACTTATCAAACTTAATCTTGAAGCCAGATATGTCTTTTGCCCCCACTGCTCCCCTTGGAAGGCAGTTCCAGAACTTCACTCCTCTCATGGTTAGAAACCTTCACCTGATTTCAAGTCTAAACTTCCTGATGGCCAGTTCTTGTGTCCACATTGGTACGGAGCTTAAATAATTCCTCTCCCTCCCTGGTATTTATCCCTCTGATATATTTATAGAGACCAATCATATCTTCCCTTAACCTTCTTTTGGTTAGGCTAAACAAGCCGAGCTCTGTGATTCTCCTTTCATAAGACAGGTTTTCCATTCCTCAGATCATCCTAGTAGCCTTTCTCTGTTGCAGGGCAGAGAGACTAAATTAGGTCTGCAGATAACTCAGGCTTGCAGCTTTCTAGTGTGCACCTTGCTGACTAGAAGCAGCTGAAGTAGCCACAGTTCTTCCGGGCTACTGATAGCAATGCCTGCAGATGGGTATCACCTCCAGAAATT